ACAGAGCCTACCACCGGCAGCCTTCCACCTGTGCAGGAACAGCTGAAGCGCTGGGTGGAAAGGACACATTCCAGGAAAATTACAGACGAGCAGAAGCGCCTCAAGAAGATGCAGAGGACCAAGTCACCCCATAACTATTAATAGAAATTAGCACTAGAAAATCCTTCCCAAAGAAAACATGGGGCCCAGGAAGCCTTAGAGGAGGCTGGCCGGCATGCGAGGAGCCAGTCATTCGAATGCTACTCAATGTTGCAGAAAGGAGAAAAGACGCAAAACTCCCCAACTTGTTTATGAGCAAGGAAATTATATGCCAGACACACTCATGAAGCTAAGTACCAGCTTCGTGCAGAGCATCACAAACCAAAGGCGGCAGCGTATAAAAAGAGCAGTAGGCAAGATCAAGTGGGCTTTGACCCAGAAAGGCGAGGCTAGTTTCTTTTTTTTTTTTCCTTTTTGTCTTTTTTCGTGTCCGGCAACGGATCGCAACCCTNCCGAACCCGCGGCGGGAGTGCCACCATGCTCCCAAGCAGCGCACTGTAGCAGTGCGCCACCGGGCCGGCCCAAGGCGAGGCTAGTTTCAAATGAAAAGTGTTAATAATGTCATTCATCACAGTCACAGGTTACAGGGAAAAACCTACAACTATCTCAATAGCTGAAGAGAGAAAGCATTAGGTAGAATTCAATATTCATTCGTAATAAAAACTTACAACAAACTTGGAATCATGGGGAATTTCCTTTTTAAATCAGAAACAAGAAGAGGACGGCGGCCGCCAGCGCTTCTTATCAACACTGTCTCGAGGGTCTGGACTAACAAAATAAGGGAAGAAATAAAATATACAGGAGTCGGAAAAGAAGAAATAAGACTATCATTGTTTGCAGATGATGTATCTAGAAAAAGACCCCAAGTAATTCAGCCAATTCAGTGAAATTGAGGAGCGTTTAGAAAGGTCACTGGATGCAATATTAACTAATAAAGGGCAACTGTGGTTCCATGTATCAGCAGAAAATAAAAACAGCACAATTTCTTTTTTTTTTTTTTCCTTTTTGTCTTTTTTCGTGTCTGGCAACGGATCGCAACCCTCAGTGTCGCGCCCGTACCGGACCGGGACTAGCAATGGGATCACAACCCTCGGTGCTGCGCCCACACCTCGCTCAGCCAGTGAGCGGGAACCGGTCTTTATGTGGGATCCGAACCCTCGGCGGGAGCGCTGCTGTGCTCCCAAGCGGCGCACTGTAGCAGTGCGCCACCGGGCCGGCCCCCCCCCAAAAAACAGCACAATTTCTAACAGCAACGAAAATATAGTGTGCCTAGAATGAAATCTAACAAATGACACACAGCCCTTTATGGAGAAGGTCTCTGAACATGTTTGAAAGATGCTGGGGAGGAGTTGGACACTCATGGACAGAAACCTCACTATCACAGAAAGGTCCCTCTCCCTGCAGTGACTGGTAGCGTCCGTGCAGTTCCAAGCACACCCCACCGGTGGGCTGTTCTGGAGGGGGAAGGGCTGAAGGAGGGGACAAAGTGGGGCTCACCCTGCCACACATGGTTAGTTGTGACGCTGGAGGAATTCAGAGAGGGTGGCAGCGTGGAAAGACTCGAGCGGGCATGTGCTGAGGGCCCGGGACCATGCTCAGGCTCTGCGACTCAGTCAGTAGAAGCCCCAGTGCTAGGCACGTGCTCAGACTCACAGCAAAGATGCGTCAGAGTGACGGGGTACTGAGTGACATCGCAGAGGGGAAGGTGCATGGGGCACCGTCCAGAGGAGACCAGGACGAGCTTCCGAGAGCCCTGTCCCAGTGGAGTCACAGGGGACCCGCTTCATTCTTCCACAAGCGCTGTAAAGCACGTGCAAAGCCAGCGGTGTCTGTCTGGGAACTGAGCAGAGACGCAGCAGCCCAGGCTTTTCCTGGGGGTTGGTCACAGGGATACTCTCTGCCCGGCAGGTGCCGAAATTCCAGACTCGCAGGAGGAAAGCCAGCATCCGGCACAACCCCCAGCACACAGTTCAGGCGCAGTGAGCCACTGTCATCCCGACGGGAAGGTGTACGTCAGTCGGGGGCCGGTTCCCAGACGCTGCCAGGGGTGGCCTTGCAGGTGGGCCTTTCCCGGGCGGCGGCACAGACAGCTATTGAACACGTGACAAGATGCTCAGCTTCATTAATAATCAGAGAAAGGCAAATTAAAATACGGTGAAAGATCACTTCACACTGCTGAGGCTGGCAGGACGGACAGAGTTGACACCAATCGTGGCTTACTTGCTGCTGTCACCCGGCCTCTCGCGGGACGAATTCCGGCCTGGTTTTCAGGAGTCACCTCTGCAGCTAGAGGACATGAGGCTGCCTCGAGGGCAGGTCCTCCATGTGGGGCTGGCACCCTCTTCTTCTCCCACTTTCTCCAGACCAGTTAGGAGCAACCAGTCCGACTGTCACTACTCTCAGAGTCTGAATAAAGTGTCCTGAAGCAGCGAGTGCTGGCCGCACAGAATCTCTCCTGTAGGCATTGACTGCGGTGCCCAGTGGCAATGTGTTGAGTGACTTTTGCCACACCACACCATGGGCCACCACCACTCTCTTTACCACTGGAAATGGGGCCGTTAGTGCCTTTAGATCTAATTAGAGAATCAATTCCCCAAGTCCCAGAACCAATTCAGAGGTCTCATCAGTAGGACTTTCCTCTGCAGCCACTCCTGGTTCCACGACCTCCGTCAGCTGGGTCCTCTGCAGACGCAGGCCCGCGGGACGTACTTACATTAAGAGACTGACCACAAAGAGTCGGCTCACACGACTGCAGGGGCTGCCAGGCACATGTGAAGCCCACCGAGCCCTCGGGGGAGAAGGTCGCGAGCAGCAGGCAGCATCACGGCAACGTCCCCTCTCGGGCTGGCTTCTGCTGGGATGGCTGAGGGCTGTCGCCCCGTCTGGGCCCCACTCCTGCGACTGTGTGCTCTGACCTTCTGCTCTCATCCAGGCACACACGCAGCTTTCTCTCTAGGTCACACTCTTAGAAGCGATCACTGAATTTAAGCATCTTCTGCCATCTGGACAGGCTGAGAATCTCCCATATCATCAAGTCCTGCTTCCTGTTCGTTCTTTCCTCAGTTTCTCTCTCCTCTCACACTTTACCATGAGCAACGGCACGGCCCCAGGACACACCTTTCACACTGCAGACCTCCTCAGCAGGACGCCCAGGCTCGTCACTGACGGGCTCTGCTTCCCCCCAGCAGGACGCGCACACACGCCTCTGCCCTGCCCAAGCCTCCCTGTCCCTCCAGGCCGCCGCGTGTCCTCGCCTCCTCCTGAGCCCTCTGCGGGAGCGCTTTCTGTTCTTACAAATGTTTATACATGTGTCAGTGGTGCTCCCCGTGAAAGGCACAGGAAAGGAAGCCCACAGTGGCGCTCTCATACAGAACACCTACTCACTTACTCGGGAGTTTTAATTGGGGAACCCGTGACTCGCAAAGATCCATAGAAGGGAACATTAAAACAGCCAGAGGGATGCGGTGGCTTCCATTGCTAAAAATGTCCTCTCCAGAAAACGCCCAAAGAGCCGTGTCTGCATCTAGAAGGTCATCACAGTCTGACCAAAGCGGACACAGACTTGTCCAGCTGCCCAGAAGGTTACGTGAGCAAACAGTCCCGAGGCTGCAGAAAACAGGCTGGGTGAGGATAAGGCCCTGCCACTTTGTGGAGTGTGCACTAAAAATACGGACCCATTCGGAGCCTGGGTCAGGAGACCCCGGAGACAGAAGCAGGTTCAGGGGAATCAGGAAACACACGGGGGAAACTCCCCATGTGGGTGAACACGCAGAGGGCTCGGGGTCTGTCCTGCGCCTCTACAGGTGCGTGTCATGACGAACGAACACCAGCTCACCCTCCTGCCTGTGCCCCTCAGGGAGCACGTGGGACGGACCTTCGGCCTGACAAACTGATACCTTATGTTCTTTTTTTTTTTTTGTCTTTTGTCTTTTTCCGTGTCCAGCAACGGATCGCAACCCTCAGTGTTGCCCCCGTACCGGACCGGGGACCGGCAACGGGATCGCAACCCTCGGCGTTGCCCCCGCGCCTCGCTCAGCCAGTGAGCGGGAACCGGTCTGTATGTGGGATCCGAACCCTCGGGCGGGAGCGCCGCCGCGCTTCCTAAGCGGCGCACTTATCCAGTGCGCTACCGGGCCGGCCCAGCCTTTATGTTCTTTGGTCTAAACACCTCAGCTCCCTCTGGCTCAGCTGCTCTTGGCTGGACGCTGCTTCCGTTTCTTAACCTTTGGCACTTTCAACGTCCATGTTTTTACTGACTGCCTGTCCACAGCCAGCTAGGCCTTTCCTATCATGATCCTCAGAACTCTTTCAGCCTGCGTCCACTGCTTGATTCCAAAGCCACTTCCACATTTGTAGCTATTTGTCACAGCAGCACTTCACTCCTGGTACCAAAGTCTACACCACTTTCCAGTGCTGCCCTAACGACTCACTACTAAGCTTAGCAGCTTACAACACAGCCCACTGGAAGTCCAGAGCTCCAGGTGGACCCAGCTGGGTTCCTGCTCCGGGTCTCCCATGGTTGACATCAAGGTGTTGGTGGCAGGCTCTTACTTGGAGGCTCTGGGGAAGAGCCTGCTTCTAGGTTCATTTGGGTGTTGGCAGAATGCAGGTGCTTGTGGCTGTAGGACTGAGGTGCTTCTTGGAGGAAACATGGCGGCGGGAAGGGAGTGAGCCGCCGGCACCCCGTGCCGGCAGGATCCCAGAGGCCACCAGCAAGAAGAGGAACTCAGAAAGCCTGATGGTGAGTCAGAATCTCTGGTGTCCTTGCTTGTGCTGGGGGTAGCTGTTACTACCCAGGTGGATTGCTCTGAAGGATTGCTGAGACCTTGAAGGGGACTCTCATAATACTGTGCACTGAGGTTTGCAGTGCGCGCCATTTTGTGAAATTTACAAAATCCTCCCTGGGAAGAAGCCGCCTGGAGCGGCCACTACTTGGCGCCTGGCCACCGCAGCTGCTGCCCTCAGCGCTGGGCCAGGCTGCGCAGCCCCGCCACTGGGACTCGGGGTCCGGCGACAGCGGTATCTGCCAGGGAGGGGGCTCTCGTCTCCCCGGCCCCGGGCACCGCTGGAACCGTGAGCTGAAGAGAGACTGAGCAGGCTGCAGCGTGAACAGGAGCCGGGAGCGCCAGGGGCGGTGAGAGGCAGCCGGGGTGGCTCTGGCTGCGGAGGCTGCCGCGGGAGCGCAATGCAGGAGCGCAACGCAGGAGCTGAGACTCTCCGGAGGGAGCGGCGCGAACGCACTGCCATCTGCCCGGTAGTCAATTTTGGATTGCCTGACACTAGTGTCCAACTGAGTAATCACTGAGCTAGCCATACCAAATTGGCAACCCCAACAAAATCTTAGTCAGGCAATAGTGTCAAACCTGTGGACTGTGAA